ATAAATTGAAATTTTAGGATATGAATTGAACTTTTGTGGATATGAGTTGAACCTTTAGGATATGAATCGAACCTTTAGGATATGAATTGGACTTTTAGTTTATGTATTGGAATTTTAGTTTATAAATTGAAATTTTAGGATATGAATTGAACTTTTGTGGGTATGATTTGAACCTTTAGGATATGAATTGAATTTTTGTATATGAATTGAACTTTTAAGATATGAATTGAACCTTTAGGATATGAATTGAAATTTTTGTGTATGAATTGAACTTTTAGGATATGAATTGAGCCTTTAGGATATGAATTGGACTTTTATGGATATGAATTGAAATTTAGGATTGCGGGAGGATTTTGTAGAAGGGGTTGATGACTTTATTATACAACACTCATTGACTTTTATACACTTTGAACTAGACAAATAGAATCGGTTTTCGAATGGGCTTGTAATAAGAGTTAACTTAGTTTGGTTCCCTTAATGTGGTAGTTCTATTGAACTATAAAACTTTGTTGGTTTTAATGTTGGTTTTAATGTTGTTTTTGTATTTTTGTTGTTGTTGTTGTTGTTGTTGTTGTGTTGTTGTTGGTATTGTTGTTGGTATTGTTGTTGTTGTTGCTTGTAATAGGGATTTGATATGACTGCCAGGTGGTGCAGCTGCCAAAACAGGCAGTTTCTGCCAAAATAATACCCAGAAAAGCGACCAACTTTGGTCTCTTTTTGGTCGCTTTTCTATTAAAAAAAATAATTTTCTGGGCAATAGCGACCAAAGTTGGTCGCTTTTTACCCAGAATTCTCAAAAAGCGACCAACCTTGGTCGCTATTCCATTAAAAAAAAAAAAATTCTGGAAATACAGCGACCAACTTTGGTCGCTTATTTTTTTAAAAAAAAATTAAATTCTTGAAATTAGCGACCAAAGTTGGTCGCTTATTTTTTAAAAAAATTAAAAAAAATAATAAAAAAGCGACCAACCTTGGTCTATATTTTCCAGATTTTAAAATATAATATTTGGATTAGAGACCAAAGTTGGTCGCTTTTTTATGATTAATAATAAATAAATAAAAAGTTTTTTATCATTTAGAGACCAACTTTGGTCGCCAAAATTATATTATTAAAATAATAAAGCGACCAAAGCTGGTCGCTATAGTCTTTACCCGGAATATTTGGTCCTTTACCTTAGAGACCAAAGTTGGTCGCTAATTAGCGACCAACTTTGGTCCCTAAAATAAAGGGACCAACTATATTGCGACCAGGCATGTTTGGTCGCTTTTTGGTCGCTGTTAGACCTATAAGCGACCAACTTGGTCGCTTTTTGTGGTCGCTTTTTACCGGATTTCTAGTAGTGTTACCTGCATTAATTGCATATCTTAATTGTTTCATGCCTGTACTTGCTTTTATTGTCCTTACCTTACTTGTTGCACTTTATTATATTGTGTTCGATTGTGGGAGTCATTTAGCTATTCTTGTATTAATGAATTTTCAAAGCTTGCGATTATGAGGTATTGGTTATTCTCCGTTTGTACTTGTAGTTCATTGATGTTCTATACGCCTTATTTCCTTTTGTGTTGAGCTTATGGAATTTGATTGTGTTGAGTTGTTCATGTTAATGTGTTTTTGTTGGGAACGTTTTGCACGCCGCAACAGTATTAAAATGAATTGATAAAGGGAACGGGTTGCACGCCGCAACAAATATTGTGAAATGATATTGGGATCGGGTTGTACGTCGCAACAAATATTGTGATAAATGTTGGGATCGAGTTGCGCGCCGCAATAGAGTATGGTGTGTTGTTACTGTAAGTAGCTATAGTGCTTTATTTCGGTACTGTGATATGAGGTTATGAGATGGTATTATTAGGGCCCTCTGTTAGTTTACCTTCGGGTCTCGTTCTTACGAGTTTACTTGTTTTCTTTATATTCCTGTTGTCTATCATTATTATTCGTACAGTTTTATAGTGAGTATCTTGCCATAGCCTCGTCACTACTTCATCGAGGTTAGGCTCGATATTTACTGAGTACATGAGATCGATTGTACTCACACTACACTTCTGCACTTCTTGTGCAGATCCCGGTGTTGGTCCTAGCGGGCGCCTAGAGGAGATTGCTCGGATCCGACTCATACAGGAGACTCGAGGTAGAGCTGTATGACATTTGCAGGCCTTGAAGTCCCCATCTATCCTGTTTATTTTTACTATTTATCTAATCTCAGATATTGTACTTCATTTCAGACCATATTTGTAATATTCTAGTTGCTCATGTATTTGTGACTCCAGATTTCTGGGATATGTATAGACTGTATTACGATTGTATTTATCACATGTATTTCAGAGTATTTCAGTTTTAAACTATTAATGTTCTGCTTTTAAATTGTTAAAATTGGTTAGTGCTTTAGCTAATGTTGGCTTGCCTAGCAAGTGGATGTTAGGCGCCATCACGTTCTCGTAGTTGGGATTTCGGGTCGTGACTCTCTCTCTCTCTTCAAATAATTTTTTTCTTTTTCTTCCCAAACATTTTAATCTTTCCTCCTAAAACTCTCTCATTATAATCATTCAATAAACATTCTCTTAAGTTATAATTTTTAATTTTGTTACATTATTTTAGAGTTTTGGTGCTGAAAATCGTATAACTTTCGACTGGGTAATGTTGAGTTTTCTCGGAAATGTTTTAAGGAGTTTGAATATCGAAGAGCTGTTTGAAGATGATTTGAGGCGAATAAATAATTTTTAGATTGAAAACTCGAGGTTGAAAAAGACTTCATTCGTATATCTTCTACATATATTCATGTATATCATCTTGTATATCAGCGTATATCTGTTTTATCTCCTATATATCATGCATATTGATATACACGTCTATGTATATCAATAAAAATCTCGGGTGATATGCACTAATATACAACGTAATATACATTTTGTATATAATATCAATGAAAATCTTGTGTGACGAATACTGATATTTAACGTGATATACAACAAAAGAAACTCGTATTGAACATTGGGTGATTATTTACTATTTTTGGAAGAATGAAAGAGAACAAGCGTGAAATTAGGAGTTGAATATTCAGATTCTCCTATTTTTTTTAGTTCTTTTGGTAGGATTGGGCTATTCATTGCTATTTTTTAGGAAAATCTTACTTTATACCCATTAATTCCAAACTATTTACCCTTTAATGCTCAGGCCCAAATTATTTACTTCTCCTACCCATGCGGCCCAAACTATTTACCCGGTCTGTTATTCATTTATTCTATTCGCACTGCCTCACCAACCGCAATAAAGGGTTGTACGAGTATATAGCTATATTGACAGCATTTATGACTTAAACTAGCAGATCTTTAAGATAAGCATTAATTCGTAACCTGAAGTTGTGCCCTCGTCCAAATTCTTAGTGTTGAAAGAAGAGCTACCATAGTAGGTAGTTGATGACTCTATAGGAACAGAGAAATTTGGGTGAAAACCCAAGATTAAAGAAGGCTTGGTCTTAATTTTAGTAACTCCAGATCCTTGAATTATTTCCCTGTTTGCTACTTCTTGACTTACTTGTAATTTGTTCTTATAAAATTATTCTTCTATTTCCCTTATAACCTTCTTCAAAATGAAATTAGATCTGATTATCTGAGAAGTTGACATCTGGGTAGTTTCAATTCTGCTCCTCATTTTCTTGATTGTTCTTTCCCTAGCTCTTGCTCATGCCTTGGCCCTTGACTCTCTTGCAACTAGGGCAAGATCTGTTGCCTCATTTTTTACTTCTTTCTTTTCTTTTGCTAATATTTTGGGCTTTCTTTCTAAACCCTCATTTGTTGTCGAAGAAGAACACAGCTACCCAATAGTATATCGCTATGGTATACAATATGCTGTAGGAATATATAGCTATACTGCAACAGTATACTATTATAGTTTACAATATACTGCAACAGTATATTGTAATAATCGAAGAAGATCACAGTTACCTAACAGTATACCGCTACAGTATACAATATACTATAGGAGTATATAGTTATACCGCAACAATATACTATTATAGTACACAATATATTATTATAGTATACTGTAATAATATGCAATATACTGTAACAGTATGCTGTAATAGTATATAATATACCATAATAGTATACTTATTACCCGTAAATTCACTTGCGTTTTCCCTTTTAATTTGGAAGAAGCAACGGCTCTTTCTCTCTCTTCAAGTTTCTCTCTCCATGCTAGTGCTCTCTCTTCTGCCTTCTGATTTTCCGGCGCCGGCAACCTCAGGTAAGTCATCCTCCCTCTCTCTCCCGCTCTTCTCCCTCTTCCCCCTCTCCTCCTCCCCTCCTCTCTCTTCTCCACCCCTTTTCTCTCTTTTCTCTGTTTCAACGCCGGAATTTCTGGCCGGCGACCTCCATGCGCCTCTCCTCTGTCTTTCTTCTCTTCTCCTCACTCCCTTCTACTATCTTATCCCCTTGAACCCGTCTCTTTCCCTGCTGATCATTTTCCCCAACCTTTCTTGAGCCCAAATTTCAGTTCCGAAACCCTTGCAGCCTCGCCGGCGACCTCTGTCCGGCGACCCCCCATTGTTGTCCCTCCCTTTTCGACTCTGTCCAGGTCCACCCCTGCGACAGGTTGACAGCCCCCCTCCCTATTGGTTTCGTGGTGGTTGTGTGTGATTTTTCAGGGAAATAGTTGCGGCTGCCCAGGCAAGCGCGAGGCGTACGGGCGAGTAAAGCGGAGCATCACCGGCTAGTGTGTGCATAGGTTGGCGGGAGTTGGGAGGACGCACGACAGATTTCTGTGACCTCGAGTGCATCAAGTCATATTTCCAGGTTCTTTCCATCGGGAGTTGGTACCTCCCGCTTTCTTGTCTCTTTCTTTATGTTAGTTAAATTGTGGCTATTTAGTTAGCATCACTCTAAGCATATTATTAGAGTACTTATAGTTGCTACCTGTTATTTTCTAGTTTGGGTCTGTGTTAGTGTTTTTCGGAGTTTGTCGTAGGTATAGTGGCTGTGGTCTGGGATGGTAGAGTAAGGTCATGTCCTCGAGGGGTGCCAGGGGTGAGAAGGGAGGTGGGGAGGGGGTCAGTGGATGGACGGGAGGCAAGGAGGGTAAGGGGAAAGAGGGAGCTTGTAGATTGAGGATCGGGTCGTGGAACATAGGCACACTGACGGGTAAGTCTATTGAGTTGGCGAAGATTCTCCAGAAGAGGAAAGTTAATGTAGCTTGTGTCCAGGAGACTAGGTGGGCAGGGTCGAAGGCGAGGAATGCGAACGGGTATAAGTTGTGGTACTCTGAAGTCGCGAGGGGTAAGAATGGAGTGGGTATCTTGGTGGATAGGGATCTTAGAGAGTCTGTCGTTGAGGTTAGGCGAGTGAATGATAGGCTAATATTTATTAAGTTGGTGATTGGTGAGTGCACCCTCAATGTCGTTAGCGCTTACGCGCCGCAAGCAGGCTTGGATGAGGAGGTTAAGAGGCGCTTTTGGGAGGCTTTGGACGAGATTGTGCGTAGTATTCCACCTACTGAAAGGTTATTTATTGGAGGGGATTTTAATAGCCATATTGGGTCGGCTGCTAGTAGTTATGGCGAGGTGCATGGTGGCTTTGACCTTGGGGATAGGAACGGAGGAGGTACTTCGCTGTTAGACTCCGCTAAGGCTTTCGACCTGGTGATTGCGAACTCGACTTATCCGAATAGGAAGGAGCATCTGGTTACTTTCCAAAGTTTGGCGGTGAAGACCTAGATTGATTACCTTCTCCTCAGAAGGTGTGATAAAAGGTTGTGCAAGGATTGCAAGGTTATCCCGGGAGAGACCCTCGCGACTCAGCATAGGCTCTTAGTGATGGACATCGGCATCATGATGAAGAGGAAGAGGAGGCATGCTCGTGGCCGACCGAGGATTAGATGGGGAGCTTTAACCAAGGATAAAGCCCAGGAGTTGGAGGGGAGGTTATCCGCTATGGGAGCTTGGATGAGTAGTGGAGACGCGAGCACTATGTGGTCAACGACGGCGAGCTACGTGAGGGAGGCGGCGAGAGAGGTGTTAGGGATATCGAAGGGTTTTTCTGGCAGGCACCAAGGCAACTGGTGGTGGAACGACGTAGTCCAAGGTAAAGTGGAGGCGAAGAAGGTAGCGTACACGAAGTTGGCAGGGAGCACAAGCGAGGAGGTGAGGAGAGCGAATAGAGAGAGGTACAAGGTGGCGAGGAAGGAGGCAAAGCTGTCGGTCACGGAGGCTAAGAATGCAGCATTTGGTCGTCTATATGAGGAATTGGGGGAGAAAGGTGGGGACAGGAAGTTGTTTCGGCTGGCTAAAGCGAGGGAGAGGAAGGCCCGGGATCTGGACCAAGTAAGGTGCATCAAAGACGAGGACGGTAGAGTATTGATGGGAGAGTCCCAGATTAAGCAGAGATGGCAGACGTACTTCTATGGTCTTCTAAACGAGGAGGGGGACCGGGATATAGTGCTAGGGGATTTGGGGCATTCAGAGAGTCTCCGAGATTTTAGGTATTGCAGGCGCATTAAGGTGGAGGAGCTCGTACGGGCTTTGCATAAGATGAGTAGGGGTAGAGCGACCGGGCCAGACAAAATGCCGGTTGAGTTTTGGAAGTGTGTGGGTAGAGCAGGATTGGAGTGGCTGACTGGGTTGTTCAATGTAATTTTTAGGACGAAGAGGATGCCGGAGGAGTGGATGTCGAGTACAATGGTACCGTTGTACAAGAACAAAGGTGATATCCAGTGTTGTAACAATTATAGGGGTATCAAGTTACTTAGCCATACCATGAAAGTCTGGGAGAGGGTGGTGGAGGTGAGGGTGAGGAAGACGACGTCTATATCCGACAATCAGTTTGGGTTCATGCCGGGTCGCTCCACTACAGAAGCTATCAATCTTATTAGGAGGTTGGTGGAACAATACAGGGATAAGAAGAAGGATCTGCACATGGTGTTTATTGACTTGGAGAAAGCGTATGACAAGGTCCCTAGGGAGGTGCTCTGGAGATGTCTTGAGGCAAAGGGCGTGCCGGTAGCCTACATAAGAGCGATGAAGGACATGTATGATGGAGCTAAGACTAAGGTTAGGACTATGGGAGCGACTCGGAGCATTTCCCAGTTGTTATGGGATTACACCAAGGCTCTGCGCTTAGCCCATTCTTATTTGCCTTGGTGATGGATGCACTAACACACCATATTCAAGAGGATGTGCCATGGTGTATGTTATTTGCTGATGACATAGTTCTAATTGATGAGACGAGAGTCGGTATTAACGAGAGGTTGGAGGTTTGGAGACAGACCCTCGAGTCTAAGGGTTTCAAATTGAGCAGGTCTAAGACAGAGTACCTAGAGTGCAAGTTTAGCGTTGAGTCGAGGAAAGTAGGCAGGGACACGAGGCTTGGATCATAGGTCATCCCCAAGAGGGATAGCTTCAAGTACCTTGGGTCGATGATTCAGGGGAACGGAGAGATCGACGAGGACGGCACTCACCGTATAGGGCGGGCTGGATGAAATGGAGGCTTGCATCTGGAGTCTTGTGTGACAAGAAAATGCCACCGATACTCAAAGGTAAGTTTTATAGAGCTGTGGTTAGACCGGCCATGTTGTATGGGGTAGAGTGTTGGCCGGTTAAGAACTCCCATATCCAAAGGATGAAGGTAGCAGAGATGAGGATGCTGAGGTAGATGTGCGGGCACACTAGGATAGACAAGATTAGGAATGAAGATATTCTGAAGAAGGTGGGCGTGGCCCCTGTGGATGACAAGATGCGGGAAGCGAGGCTCAGATGGTTCGGGCACGTGCGGAGGAGAAGCCTTGATGCTTCGGTGAGGAGGTGTGAGCGTTTGGCCGTGGTGGGTACGAGAAGAGGTAGAGAGAGGCCTAAGAAGTACTGGGGAGAGGTGATCAAGCAGGACATGGTACGACTGCAGCTTTCCGAGGACATGACCCTTGATAGGAAGGTCTGGAGGTCAAGCATTAGGGTTGTAGGTTAGGGAGTAGTAGAGCTTTCCTTACTTTACACCCGGGTGAGGCGGGGTTGGATTATGGTTGATCTTAGATGGCTTGCAGTTTATGTTGAGTCCACACTATCCTTGTTGTTTATCTTAGCCCCGGGCCTTAGATACTGGTTACTGTTATTGCATGTCATTTATCTTTTGGTTGTTATGCTTCTGTTACTATTACGGTTTCTACTGGAGTTACTAATGAATTGTCTTTTCTTATTTTTTTTCATTTCCGTCTTTCTGAGCCGAGGGTCTATCGGAAACAGCCTCTCTGCCCTATCGGGGTAGGGGTAAGTTCTGCGTACACATTACCCTCCCCAGACCCCACTTTGTGAGATTTTACTGGGTAGTTGTTGTTGTTGTTGTTTCCCTTTTAATTTGCTTTAAGCTTTTACCCAGCGCGAGGGGCAAATTAAAAATTTAAATTTCTTTTTCGTTTTGATTTATTCTATGACTTGAATTCCAAGACTTCTAACTTTTACAAAACATTGATATGCCATTGGAGGACCTTGAAGCTTTGAAACTCATAAATTGGGTTTGTTGAGTTTGTGGTTATTTTGAAACTCAAAACAAGAAAAAAAAATTAACTCTTTGCGTACAATTGTATACCCTGTTAGTATAGCTATATACTATACTGGTATCATATGTTAGTTAATATTTTTTGATTGTATTAGCTACATTCAATTGGTACACAATTTAATTTTTCTTAGTAATAATATAAAAAAAAGAATAATAAAAAATAGTGAAAACAGTAAATAAAATTAGATTATGAAGAGAAAAAGAATATAAAAAAAAAGTTAAATGAAATTAGAAAAGGAAAAAAGAAAAAAATAAGAAGAAAACGAGAAAAAAGAAAAGGAGAAAAGAAAAAAAAAGAAAAAAAAAGAAGAAGCATAGAAATAAAAAAGAATTGGAGAATAAAGAAAAAATTCCCCACCAAAATTACTATGGGTAGGAAATATAATTAGTTTATAGGTAGAAAAATAAATGGGTAGACAAGGGTAAATAATTTTATTTTTGTGGGTAACTGTGTCATTCTCCCATTTTTTTTAGACTTTAGTTGCTAAGTCTAATTCTGGGCTAAAATCTTTCCAGGATTTGCATCTATACCCGCTTTTTGGGTCACGTTTTAACTTGTGCCCGCTTTGCAAAAAAAATTGCAAGCGTACCCACTTTTTCGCGTAACTTCAGCATACGGGGCTGAAGTAGCAAAGGCAATCACGCAAAACTTTAGCATTCTAGTACACGGACCTGAAGTAGCAAGTGTGCTTAACCAAGTGTGCTGAAGTTTTTGTTTGTAATTGCTGAACTTAAGCATAGTAGCTGAAGTTTTGTTCTCTATTTGCTGAATTTTTTGTTTGTAATTGCTGAACTTAAGCATAGTAACTGAAGTTTTGTTCTGTATTTGCTGAAGTTTTTGTTTGTAATTGCACTAAATAAGCTGAAGTTTTTTTGTCCTGGATTCATTAGTTTTGTCATTAAGCTTTTTCAAAAACTTTAACAGAAGATGCTGAAGTTATTTAGTTCATTTATAAGAACTTCAGCACTAAATAAGCTGAAGTTTTTTTTGTCCCGGATAAGCTTTTACAAAAACTTCAGCAGAAGATGCTGAAGTTATTTAGTTCATTTGTAAAAACTTCAGCACTAAATAAGCTGAAGTTTTTTTGTCCTGGATTCATTAGTTTGTCATAAAGCTTGTTCAAAAACTTCAGTAGAAGATGCTGAAGTTATTTAGTTCATTTGTAAAAACTTCAGCACTAAATAAGCTGAAGTTCTTTGTCCTGGATTCATTAGTTTTGTTATAATCAGACTACTATAAAATAATCAGATTGCCAACAGTATCTAAATCATAAAATTTTGGAAACAAATAAACGTGAAAAGAACAGAATTATCATGAAAAGAATCACTAATTGTGACCTTAAACTTCCTGTACGTGGAAATACTCACAAATTATTGTCTAATAACTTGCATAATTATTTATACTTTATTTTTAAATAATCTGATAAACATACTTATGGCAATCATCCCATGAACTGAAGTTTCATAGCAGCACCAACAGCAGCAGCAGCAGAAGAAGAAGAAGAAGAAGAAGAAGAAGAAGAAGAAGAAGAAGAAAACGGAGGAGGAGAAGGGGGAGGAGAAAGGGAGCTGAAGTTGTTTAAAAAGTGTACAAGTTAAAATTTTTAAAAAAAATGAGTATAGGTTAAATGGGGGCGACCAAATAAGATGCCCCGTACAATTTTTACCAATTATTGTGGTATGTACACGTCAATTTCCCATCAAAAAGTTCGAAATTGAGGCCCATACCTTTATTTGTAGTTTCGGCCTATAAAGAGGAAAGATTGGGATATTTGCAAAAAGTGCCACCGTTTATATTTTCTTCATGTTAAAAATAAAAAATTAGCCCTGTTGTCAGAATTGAAAGATTGTTGCCCGAATCTTGAAATACATAGCTGAATTTTAAAGTGCGGCGCCACAATTTTGAAGCACATTGTCAGAATTGAAATATCACAGTCCAAATTACCAAGCCGTTATGGCACCTAATCCAACCCGTCAGGCAAACTAACCAATATACAAGACAATACATATAATAAATAATGAAATAAGAATGCGAAATTTAATACAACTACTCCAAGAATTGGCATCAAAAGTCATAAGCAACTAAGAAATGAAACACAATACTTGTGTAAAGAAAATGCATTATCTGTTAGAATATACATAAACACCAATAAAAGTTCTAAACTAACAT